CCCGGCAGCGGCCCGGTAACCCCCGGTAACTTCTCGTGCAGCCACAGCCGTCCGGGAAGGTTCGCGGGCTGAGCGCGATCTGTCAGCGAGCTGCTGGCACGGCCCCTGCTCGTGTCCTGGCTGCAGATGCCGCGCAGCCTGGTGCACAGAGTGCTGTGCGTAGCATGGAAGGGGAATGAAGTGATGTATTTACAGGAATTATTTCCTACTGAAGCAAGCTTTCATTGCCACCCAAATTCTTACACCCCACCAATAATTTTTGTTCTAATCGAGCTACAAAGCAAGTTCAAGTCTTTCGTAAATATGCTTTCCTTCAGTGACATGTCAGTCAATTCAGCTTTTCAAAGTGCTAAAATACTGCTGTCAATTCAGCTTTTCAAAGTGCTAAAATAGTGCTAAAAAGCAGCCTAATAATGACATTAATTATTCTTATGTGATTATATTTTTATGATGCCCGTTGTGTGTGCATTTCAAAGCATTTTATGCAAAAAAATACGATTATTAAGACACTACAGTCAATCAAAAGGGGAAAAAAAGGTTAATTGACTTGCATAAATTCACACAACAGGTTTGTGCTTGCTTCCAGTCTATGACTCTTCCCTTCTGGATTATACAAGAATGTTTTAATGATGAGCAACTTGAACAACGTGCATTACAAGAGTAGCTGAAGCACCAGAAGAGGTGGTGGGAATTTCGTCCTTGAAGGTCTTCAGAACTTGACAAGGCACTGAGCAACTTGACTAAATTTGAAATGAGCCCTGCTCCGAGAAAGAGATGAGGTTATGGACTCTAGAGGTCCTCTCCAACGTAAATTATACCTAAGATTAGGTAAACGGTCAGTATTGTGATATTCTGACTTTGTGTCAAGTAAAGATTTACGCCTTACATATTTTCTCCACTTGAAATATATTTAGGCCAGAATAACACAGATTACTAATTCAGTCAATAGACGCAAGAGCAGCTTGTCTAGACTAGCTTTTGAGCCCTTGGAAAAATACTCCGTAGAGTGCGCAGCAGACCAAAATCTCCCTGTTGTGCGTACCGCTCCTTGGTAGTCCTTTTGGCTCATATTCTGCAAATACCTATGCCAATATTTAACTACGCTGCTTTGAATAGCTCAATTCAAAGACATCTTTTATAGATGCTTGAATATTTTAATAATATAAAAAGCAGAGTGCAACAGCTGAAAATATTAGAAGACCTATTTATTATATCATTGGCATCATCTTTACTGCAAGTCTTTCAGTTTTTGGTTATCTTGCTTGTTTTTAAGCATTTAAGCGACATCGTAGTGAAAACCTAGTGCTAATAAGATAACTAAACTTTTTCCATAATAAATTAACTATCAATTAATCATTCCTTTATCAGGATAAAAAATACAAATGAAATACTAAAGCTATCACTGAAAAATCAAGTTACTAAGGCTTTCATTAAAGCTTTCTATAAAAATTGTGTAATTAGTAGAAATGGTGGTCCTGCTCACTTATTTGAATAATACACCAAAGAACGTCCAACCGTAAACAGAAGCCAAATTTTATCAGTACCTGCATTCTACTTAGTTGAGCACTGAAGTATTTTATGTAGGTCCAGGAACGTTACCCCAGCCATTAATATCAGTCAAGAAATACTGCAGCTGACGCACACACTACATCTTCTACCCAGAAGTTCTAAGATTTCCACAAGCTTTCTATTTCAATTCACTTGCTGTGCCGATGTAAGATTTGCCTACTATATGCAGCAGTGTTTAACCATACATTTGGTGTTTTCTGTTAGATACATTTTTCTGCACATACAGCACATTAAACACATGACAAAATATTTCGCCTGCTTTGAACATTTCACTGATTAAGAAGAAACAAATTCAGACACAACATTAACACTTACCAGCTTCTGACATAAAATACTCATTTTAGCAATACAGCCTTTTCTTACAAATGGTGTAAAGCAAACTATAAAAAGATTCAAACAGAAAGCCAAATCGAATGTTACATAAATCAAACGTTCAAGAAGGTTAAATTAAAAAAAAACCACTTAAGTTTTACTGATAAAGATTTTGTTAGCTATGGTAGCATTATTTAAAAAAACCCCGAACTTATCAAATTACATGTAATTTAAATTTACAAAGTATAACAACTCTGTCAGTGAATGTTATCACCAAAAAACATGAGTCCAAGCCAATCTAAAGTCTCAGGGCTCGCATTGTTGTGACAATACCTCACTGTTAATGTTGTTCTTCAACATTCTGCACCAAAATCCAAAATACTCTTGAAAGATGTTATTGATGATCTTTGTTTTTTTCTTGCCTCTATAAAATGGAGATAAAAGAGAAAATATCAAGACAAATGTTGACACAAAACGCTGCACAACTTTAGAAAACATTTCAGTAGGAAAACGCTTGCTACTAAGCACTCCCACACATATGCCAAGCACAGCAGAAATGCTATCTACTCCATCCATAGATGGCATTTCTCCGTAAAGAGCATACCTATTAAAAACGGTGAAAACCGCCAGAGATTTTCACAAACCAACATCAGAAAAGAGACCGAACAGAGGAAATGTCAACTTCCCAATAAACATAGCGATTAATTTGGAGTCCTTAACCGAAATTCTTATCCTCTTTGTATCCTGTCTGGTGGCACTGGAAGGTTCAAAGGCTCTGTAATATTTTCCCAGTTCAGTTCTCTCTCTCCAAGCACAAGCCCCGATTTAATTACATTGGAGACCATTCTAATGCTTAGTGTGCACAGCATTGAACTGACACAAAGCACAATCCCATGGGTTGCAAATTCTGATAGCCTGTCTTTTTCTGCAAGTCAATTCAGGGTCAAAAGCTGAAAACTGAGCTGACAGCATATATGATTAGTAGAAAATTAAATTATGATTACTTGCAACTGTAACCTGTAGTATTTCTTGGAAAGATCAACACTTGTCCGTCCTTTCTGAAATGGATAAGACCACAAAATTAAATTCCAGTGATTACCCATTTTTTTTACTCCACTCAAAAGACAGTTAATTTCTTCAGTCGTGAAATCTTTTCGGGTTCTTCTTCTCTTGTTTAAACTTCTTGTGTTCATGTCCAAGGAACATATTTTATTGTTCTGCAAATATTTATTTTGGTGTAATTAAAAATTATGTAAATTTACATACTATTTCACATTTGGAAGTAATGCATTATTACTGACAATACAATCTTAAGTAGTTCTAAAGAAATGATCACTTTGTCAAGATGATAACGGCTCTTCAAGACTTCTTCACTGTCACCCACTTACTGAAATACAGTATTTTTCCATGACCTTTACCTTCCATTTCTGTCATGCCTACATAGCTTATACCTTTAGTATGTCGATTCCTTCAGGTTTCTGTTATTTCTATACTACGCAAATTTTCGTTAGTGCAGGAAAAAGCATACCTCCGTATCCATTATTCAGAAAGGACTGTCAGCTGAAAAATGCTTAACTCATTTCATGGATAAATCAGTATGACTGGAGTAGAATCAACAGAGAGGAATATCATTTTATACTGGGCTCCTGTTAAAGGTAACTTAAAAAGAAATTATGCAATTCATAGTGATTTTATTTGTACATTTATAAATATGTGAGTGTATGATTAGGCTTTGCATAACTAACCTCATCTTTGTCAAGTGAATATATGCAATTTTCTTTTAAGCGCTGACATTGCTGGTTGCACATTTCTTTGATTCTTTGTCTCTTCGAGTTAGCGTCTTGGGTTTTTTGGAAAGCTATGAAATTGTGAACAAGGCCACCTCTTAGGTACTTTAACTGAAATCTACTGTAAAACTGAACATAGTGTTGTAAAGGAACATTTCTCCTAATGAACTTGAATATGCAGATGTTGCTTTATTAGTAATACCTCATTTTCATTAGATCTTTTTCTCATCATTGACATTAACACATAAGGATTATTTATGCATTGGAAGCAACTAGCAAGTAATAGGGGTTAACTCAAACACCAATACTACTACGATTGGAGGTACAAGAACATATCTAAATTCTTAACCATTTGTCTCTAATAGCAAGCACAGGTGCTTTTCTCAATACCCTGACCTAAACGCAAAACTTGATCTTTGAGTTATGCTTATTACAGAATTAACCTTCCAGTAATACTCACACTTTTCATACGTAGGTATCAAGTTATAGTCATCAGTCAACCTAGTATTTTTACTATGTTCGTCTCTATTTGAAGTGTCAGATTTGTTTTTTCTAATTGGAGTCAAAAGAATACCTTAAAAAAACCAAACAATAAAACATTATGCATCATTCTTAAAAAAAACACAAAACACAGGTAATGTTTTAGGAATTAAAATTTAAGAGAGACCCATCTTTTGAGCCATACTATCTGGTCTTGGAAGAAAGACTGGAAAATTCAGTTTACTTCCAAAAATGTTTACTTGCTAAAAGGTAATCTATTAGTGTAATGGGCTCTTGAGATGAAATTGTTTGTTTGGTTGTTGTTAGAAAAAAAAAATCAATCTACTAGCTTTTACCAGAAATAAATTAAATAACAATGTAAACAAGTTTTTGGAAATAGGAGACTAAAAATAAATTCCCAATGGGTGAGCTGATTTTTGAAAAGAGAATGGTTTTTAAAATAGTATTAGTATTTTAGAATTTAAGTACGGATTTAGAGACCTGCTTCAGCCTACTTTAAAATTTCTGGTCATCAATCATAAGAAACTGTATTGGTTACTAGTTGGTGAATGTAGTGGTGTATGACTGTAGTTGGAGCTCTGCAGGATGTACCCACAAACACCACTTTCTAAAGAAAATTCCTTGTGAATTATGTAAAAAAAAATATATATGCAAAGGAAAAAATTATAACCATTAACTTTTTTGCTACATTACAGAATAAACTACTGTAAAAGATACATACTCTGCTATTTACAAATGGACAGTTGTTGTGTATTATAAAGAATACCAGTTTTTATGGGCAACGGATGGTCCTGTAAAGGTAGGGTTCCTAAACTGCACTGCAGAAACTGATGGAACTTATATTCACTTTTCCATCTCTACCTCGTTAATAAGATCTTATTCAACACCTCATAATACAGGACAGGTAAATAGATCTTCTGTACTTAATTTTCTGATCGGTTGTTTTCAGTTTACTTGCTCTAGTATTGTTGTATACGTTAAGGTTTACCCTTTTAGTGATTTAGCACACAGAGACCCAAGTCCTTAGCAGAGCTCCAAGCAGAAACAGAAACAGGTGTATAGGATAACATGGCTATAAATGTACAATGGAGTGATGCTGAATCCAGGAACAGGCAACTGTACTGTGTTCTGATCCTGACTATACCTCTCAATTTTAAAAATTAATGCCACAAAACTGAAAAATAACAGATGGCATGGAAGTAACCCTGACAGGATTCAAAGCAGTATCTACAAAGCAAGTGCCAGATAACTTCGTTGTGAACTAGTGTGCATAACACAATTTCATTATTACAGAATATACATTTTCTGGCCTATTAATATACAGATTTTTCACAGAATCCACAGGAAAAAAAAAACCAAAACATAATTCCCTATCCACAGCCTCCCATGGTAAAGTCCTGCAAAATAATTACTTAAGACAGCAAGGGCTTTTTGCATTGATTTCCGAACCAAGCCCTTACTTTGGAAACTATCCTTTTTGCTCCTGAAAGTTGGTATTTCTGTATGCAGTCTTTCTTTCTTCACTGGGGTCAGCAGTATTTCTGGAAAATATAAGATGGACACCAGTACAAATGCCAGTAAGTGATAACTGTTTAATTTTCAAAATGCCTCCTTTAAACCAGAAAAAAATATAGGATATGCTTTTATTTAATTCATTAAGAATTTAAGCTTCTTACATCCATAAGTATGTAATATTAGAATGATGTGACCTTGTTATGATGTCATACATCCATTCACAGTTATTTCAACTTCATATATCCCCTTCTATTAGTACTTGACTAACTTTGGCAAACAGGGCAGAGTCTCATCAAAGCCTATAATGAGGATATATCACTACTGCCAAGAAATACACAAGATCCTCAAAACAGAAGAGGCTAGTTCTGATCTCACTTAGTATAAATCATTGGTAAATAAAATTAAATGAGTGAATTTACAAGAGCAGGACAATCAGAATCAGACCAAAAAAGTTCAGAATTTTAAATACAATTTAAAACAATAGTTACAACTACTAAAAAAGGTCATAATTACTCTCATTAGTTGCATATCTACTGTTGTTACAAACAGCTGATTTGCAAAGTTCCTTTTTATATCTTTCTTCAGCTTCCAGAATGACTTTGTGACGGTCACACTGGTATGGACAATTTTGCAACATCTTAGTAAAGGTTTTACTATTGACAGACAGTCCTCCTGCTGTACAGCCTGGGAAAAAAAAAAAGGGATATTGTAGAAACAGCAAGCACGAATGCTATAGAAGCCATCACAAAGTCCAGCATTTTATTTTGTTCAGTATGATCTACAATCTGACCTCCAATTTTCCATATACACATCTCAATAGAGGTTACACTTTTATGTATCTTCTTGAAAATACTTACTTTTTGTTTTGTACTTGCTCTTTTAAAAAAATAAAAGTGTTTTCAGCATGACCTATGGAACAAAGTTATACCGCACTTCAACTCCAGAAGTATGAAATGAGGCACGGATCCTCTAGAGAAGTAAAAATATTAGTGGGATGGGAAGAAAGGGGCCTCAGTTCGCTTTGCACATTTATCCAGGAGCCAAAATATAAAAGATGTCTTTTCTATACTTTGAAGCTTTCTCGGTGTTGTAAGTTATCTGTATTAACCTGAATAAATAAGTCTAGCTTAGGTATGAATTGCCTCACAGGAAGCCTTCCTGTTAATTTTTGAGAACATTCCTAGCGTAATTCATGGTTTAGTTATTCTTGGATGTTATCACAGTTCCTTATGTCAGCTGAAGGAGAACTTCTGCACTGTGAGGAATTATAAGAAGGGCACTGGTACCTACCTGCAATATTCTAGCCTAAGATAAAGCAGTGCTAAAGCTCAGGTTGAATTTAGTTGGACAAATTGGGTTCATATGCCTAAATGATGTTCAAAGGTGGGCTATGGGCTTTTTTTTTTTTGGCTTTTGGTGTTCAAAGGTGGGCTATGGGCTTTTTTTTTTTTTGGCTTTTGGTGGGTTTTTTGTTTTGTGTTTTTAATAAAGAGACACAGGCTTGATTACAAAATCCACTTACAAATCCTGAGTACCAGCAGCATTCTTACAACCGACTGAGAGACCATGTTCAGGAAGTAGAAGATGGGATAACTGAGGGCTGCAGTCATGGATTACTATAAAACTGACTGCCTGTACTTAATAGCAGTAAGGCAGAGAAAACAGAAGGGCTGCAGAATAGTTAGCAGGGGAATTCCCCTTAGCAGGGGAATACATGAGGGAACTGAGCAGAGCTACATGTTTTTCCTCCCTCTTTCTGATCAGAGAAAGGAGGAAAACACCTGCTCTTAAGCAGTCTTGTAAGTAGTGTGCCATCTTTTAAGCTGTTGTATATTCTGTTTGTTAGTAAACCCACATTAAGAAGAGATACATAGACTGAAATTGGAATATGTAAGCTTTATTTCAATATTTGTGTTTTATTTTAGGGGCAGAAAAAGGAAAGGAAGCAGTTAAGAAGTACATAATAGGTAATCAAATAGATGTGTTAAAATTTCTGTAATGTCAGTTCACTTACTGCACTGCTGAATCTTTAAGGCTTCTTTTATGGACTCAGGAAAGAAAGACCTAAAGTTAATATTTACCTAAACACCTTAAATTTGCCATTTTATGGGATACAGATGTAGGTGAAGTACTTTTTTCTTCCTTGGTTATCTCTGAGTAGAATGAATGTTGATCTAAATTAGGAAGGAAAAAAAAACACTAAGAAAATGCAACCTATCCTTTGCCGTGGTAATCATGCATCAGCGTACCTATATTCAATTGTATTTTCTATTTGTAGATTATTAAAGTTTAATTTACATAACAGCAGAAAATCCAAATGGAATTCCTGAAGTTAAATGGATCGCATTTACATTTTTGTAAATCCAGAATAATTACATTTACACCAGGCCTTTTTCATCACTCTCCCAAAGCATATTACTTCAACTTGAACACAGCAAAATAACCCTGTGAACTTACATTGCTTAACTAAGTCCTATAAACTTTATTTCTATTTGGAATCAGATGCTGAAAAATGTGATGGTACTGAAATAATACTTACTCTCCATTTAAATATGTATAACCTGGAGATCAGCTTGGTCTCCTGTAAAGCTACCATTCTGGCAAATACTAATCTAATGAATAATTATAGATTTTATAAATTAACAGGAAACTAAATTATGCATGAAGATTTGATTGAACAGATCCCAATTCTGAAATAAATCTATCAGACTAAGATGATCAATGCAAATCTTAAACACATGTTCAACACGTAGGAATAGCTTCAGGCAAAAGTCACTCTCACAGGTAGGTTCTATCCCCAGTCTTACAAGTACAGAACAAAACCAGAATCCTTACGCATTTTCTATTAATTGCTTTCGTTGTTCAGTACGGATTGCATTCAGACTAAACTTAGAACATTTATCTATGATACATTCATTTGAATAGTTAAAATCAATTAAAAAAAGAAAGCTAAAATATGTATTAGAAGAAAAGTAGAATAAATATTCTCCTGGTAAAATTGTATACAATATAAAATTCCAAAACTATGCAAACAGTTAAAGGATATTATACATAATGTACTCTGTCATCTAATTGTATATTATCACTACTTTTTATCAGGTGTTAAAGTACACAAAACTAATTAAAATCTCATTAAGAACAAAATTATTTAAGAAAGGAATACGTTTAGCTATTTGTACCTGATGTGCATGTTTGTTTCATATTTTTAACAATCGCTGCTGGTTGTTTAAATAAGTGTTCACTGGGAAGATCAAAATGTGAACAAATTAAAAAAAAAAAAATCAAACTTCACAACACACATTTACCTGTAAATTAATACACACATTCCAAAGGCAAAACAAAAACCACATTAAATATATAAAAGATAAAATTCTAAAAAATTGATTCTAATTATCTAGTTACTGTGCTTGCAGTATACAGCATATCATCTTTGTGTGTTAGAAATCTGTTTACCAGAGATCTGCGATTAGCATTCCTTGCAGTGCTGTTCAGCATGTCTGTTCCAGCATGCTGGTTTCCAGAGTCACCTGCAATTCTGGTTCACATAAAGATTACTTAGTGCACATAGAACTTTCACAGTGTCTTCAAAATACTGTAGCCTTCACCAGATGTAGCAATTGCTCTAAAGGGTAACTGATTTTCTTCTTTTCTTACACTGATTAACTTCTATGCAACCAACATGCTCCTATGATATGGGGATCGTGCATTTTTCTATGTCATTGACTACCTCCGAATGCTGCAGGAGCAAGGAGCCTAATCCATGATTATGCTTGGGTAACTCCTGTTTTCACACAAATACAAGGAAAGAGCTTTTTTTCCCCCCAAAAAAAATTAATTTCTTAATAGTTTTGTGCTTCAGTGGTCAGAACAACAAATAAAGCAGCTGTGTGAAATTATGCTAATCAGTAGCAAAGCAAAATTTACCTCAATGTACTCTGGAAAATATCCTAGGCTCCTGATAATTTCTGTGGTAGTTGCAAAGTTACAATATAATGCATGCAAGGAAACTGCATAGGAGCAGGGTCCAGCCAGCCACGTAAAAAAAGCACAATAAAAATGCAGAACTCAAAAAAAAAGGAGAAATGTAGTTTTGTTCATACTCTCTCATTTCCTGTCTTGAGAGATATTCCAGATATAAATTCAAGATAATGGAATCTGTATTTATCCTTGCAAGTTGCCTATAATTAATTTTTTGTTCATCAATAGGAAGGATAACCATAAGAAGCAAAAGAAAAAGAGGAAAATAAGCATTTGTGTGAGCAAGAGAACAGTGAATAACTAAACAAGGCTGTATCTTTCTCTTCCCATGCAGGGAAGCAATTGAATACAAGGGGAGAAAAGCAGAGGTGGGGTGAGGGGGGGAGCTTTTTTCCCTAGTTTGTAGGCATTCCAATTTCAATTTTTTGCAGAGCAGTTCTGCAACTACTGTTTTCCTAGTAAGTGCATATTACAGAAGTCTTTGTGGTTTCATCCAAACCAATGGGTCAAATCTTGATCTACTCAATCGGTGAGAATTTTGAGGCAAAAACTACGGATGCTTTTTCATCACTATGTTGAAGGCATTAGAACATGGCCTGTAACAGGCTCTCTATACAACCCGTCGCCTACCATTCAGAGAAAAAGATCAGAAGCTTTTATTACTACAATGTCTATAATCTTTGATCTGTGATGTCAAAAACACTTCCACAGAATATTCTCTAGTGAGCCACCAAAAGGCTATATCTTTTCACTAGGAGAAAAAGCCATAGTTAGTAACAGGTAATTTAAAAGGCTGACATTTAATTTGGAAATCACTAAAGAAAAGCGACTTAGTATTTCTGCTTAGGTCTCTTACCTTACTTGAAGAACAGACTGATTTTTTACACAAGCAGTTTTTTCATTTATACTGTGACTTTGAAGTACACTGTCTGTTTGCAGTTCATTAACTGAACATGGAATATTAGTCTGTCCACTTTGTCTAGTAGAAGCATTTACTGGATCCATAGTGTTCACTATTTCATTTTTCAGTGGAGAAGAATTTACAGATGGAGCAAGAACCTGATCATCCAACTTAGAGGTCAACCGTGGACAATGTATTTCTTTATGTGCTCTTTTGATAGAAGTTTTTGGATCAGCAGGATTCACTTCATGGTATTTTGATGCTTCAATATTGGCTTCTGAAGATCTGTCTACAAATACTCTTCCTTGCACTCTTTCCTGTATTGAAAAATACTAGTTAGCGACTATACGAGCTCTATGAAATTACTAAATAAATCTAGTAACAAGATTAACTAGGATAGACCAGTCTAACTCTGAAGGTAAAGCAAATTCCAGAGAAGCTTCAAAAACCCCTGATGGACTCAAGAGCCAACAAGACAGCAGTGCTGCTGAAGGTGTTGAAGAGGTAGTTAAGTGATAATTCCAGGCTGAAGCAATGGATTTGCTACTAATAGAATCATAGAATCATTTAGATTGGAAAAGACCTTTAAGATCATTTGAGTCCAACCATTAACCTAGAACTGCCAAGTCCACCAATGAACCATGTCCCTAAGCACCACATCTACACGTCTTTTAAGTACCTCCAGGGATGGTGACTCAACCACTTCCCTGGGCAGCCTGTTCCAATGCTTGACAACCCTTTACAAGGCACTTCTAGAAATGAAAAGATTTAATTAACTTAAGATTCAAGCAAATAACTCAAAAACTTGCTGTTCCACACCCAGAGATACCAAGTAGTTATACAGCACAAGGAAAATATGAAACAACTTTATTTCAGTTTATGTTCACATTTTTCATTATCATCTATCCCGTCATAGCTGTACAATCATGGGCATTTCATGCATGCAAATATTAAAATTATAGGTTCAAATGATCGGCAATTAAAAATAAATCCAACTCTTGTTTCTCCAACCTAAATGATCTCAATTTTGTAGAAAACCTGGTTATATAATAAACTAAAATGCTTCATAAAAATACAGATGCCTGCATTCTCTGATTGCCCTGCATGCTTCTTTGTATGATATACAGTAATGGTAAAAGTTGCAGGTTGTAGTTTCACACACATCCAAAGTTTTCCGTACTTTTCTAGCTCACACTGAAATTATCTTAAGGGTTTACTTCCTATTTCTCCCTAAACTCTGGAAAGATTTGCTTAGTTTTATCATACTTTGGTAAATAGGCCAACCTCATCATGTTCTTTTTCAATCAAGTTTATTCTGTGTAAAATTTCTTTTGCTTTCTTCCAGTAGTCTTGTAGACTTCTTTTTCTGACTTGCACCTCCAACTCTTCTGCATTGTTTACGTTCAATGAATTATCATTTATTTTCAGGGACAACTGTTCAGCTTTATAAAATATAAAACAACATTCCAAATTTTATCAATGAACACCTTAGTAAGTATTTATTATATTTTAGTGTGCTGAGGGACAGCCCCAATAATTTAATGTAAAATATAACCTCTGAATAATAATTTTTATATAACTTAATATAAATTTACACATAAGTGTTAATACACTTCCAATATAAACTGCAGTTACAAGAGGTAAGCTTGCAATTATAGTTACTATAAGCTGTTTACACAATGATGCTGTGCTCTAAAACATGACTTTATCGTGGACTTAAGCCTATCTCTATAGGTCCTTTACTAGTATGGGTCTTTTTTTTTTTTTAAAAAACCAACGCCATATTAATGGACACTGAAAATCACCATACCCCCTCAATCTTAAACAAAACTCTTATGTTTTCAGTACAAAAAAGTAGATACATGCTTTTTACTAATTATCAATTGCGTAATACCTTCTGTGCTTTAGAGATTAAAGGACAAGGTGTCTTTCTGTTTCATTGGTAGTATTATACAGTTAATTAAAAAAACTTAAACAGGATACTTCAAAATACACCCTACTTTAAAAATAAAGATCAAGATTTTTTAACATTGCAAAATAATTGTAGTCATGGTGATTTCAGGCTTGATTATCTACTTTAGTCTCTATATACAATGGTACATACCCAGGAATAGAGCACCAATTGCATGTTAAATGACAATGTTAATATTTTGCACATAATTTATAGATGGGAAAGTTTTTAAGAACTAGCCCTACATATATAGGTTTCACAAGTGCATTATTGCAACATTGTTGGAATTATTACTTTTCTTTTTTCTGCCCAAATGCCATAATCAGTCCATGGTGGCAAATGGCAACTTTTCTGCAGAAAACAAACATCTCTTGGAGTACACAGAATTACAAAGCTGCTACAGTTACAATCATTTAGAAAGTCAACAGAACTTAAAGATGGAAATAATCTCTGTAATTTTTAAAGCAGTAATAGTAAGCTTACTCATTTGTTTGCAGTTTTGCAGCACAAAAGTAGCAGCTTTGTTTAGTTCCTCATCCTGAGACTCAGTTAATACCTGAATCATAAGTGGAAGACCATTGCTCTGAAGCAGTTCACACTGGTTTTCTTCTAAAATAGGACATTGTAAAGGAAAAAAGATTGGTTTCAGGCTCATACACACTTAATCTTACAGTAATTTTAGAAACTAATACTAGTAACTTTCAGGGAAATTCTGAAAAAGAGATTTTCATTATGGATCCAAGCATGCTGTAACGATCTACTACCCGGGTTGCAGCAGAACCACTCTAGATCAGACAGGGTGATTTGACCATAGCTCAAAGTTCTTGTAAGAAAACTGAAGGAGGACTGAGACAAATTATATGATGGAGGTCCAAACTCATTTAATTGTCACCTAAAATATTTTAATTATGGCTTCTGTATTTCTTTTCCTCTGGTATATACCTTTAAAGTAGATAAGCTACATTTATGTAAGCCTTGAGATGCAGAAATATCAAAAGCTTAAAGTTTATAATTAGCAAAACTAATAAAATTAGTAGTTTAATCCTGATCTAGCTAACCTGTTCCTCCTCATTAACTACGTAATTAGCTAATTTTTTAAATTGTGATCTCATTTGCAATATATATTCATAAAACTGACAGCTTTCTAAAAATAGTTTTGTTGTCTAAACTTGATAAAACAAAACAAAGGAAGTAACAGAAGATGAAATTATTATTTTGTCAGGGTTGACATTTTAAGAGAAACTTTTATTCTGTTGGTTTAATCATATTTCTATTTGAAAGACATTTTCCATTAAGCTTTGTTTCAATTAGTTCTTCTGAAAAAGTGTCTTTTAAAAGATTAGATTTATGACCTACTGAGCTAATTATTGAACTTGTTATTGACATTTAGCAGATGATAATCAGGATTTTTGAACATAATCCCTTTTTTTTTTTGCTTTTCTGAACATACATGACAAAAAACAGTAGTATAAACAATGGTCAGTATCTCACAACTTCCTGTTCTGTTTGCTCCTACTACGTAAAATAACAACTTAAGTGTTGTATTTTTACCAACTATGCTTGGGAAAGCCCTGAGGAACCTGGCAAAAATATTTCAGGGTCACCTACTGCTTATGTTACTTCAAAAACTATGCTGTTACATAGCTTTTTAAAAAATTAATAGCTATGTAAACAGTGGACAGAAGCTGTATATATATCAAGGGCCATTAAAGTAGAGCTCAAAAAGACTCATTTAGTATGTATGTATTGTAGTAGTTTTCAGGTCTGGATGAATTTTACCCTGTGATACCTAAGCCCAGCTTTGAATTCTCGCATAATAGTCTACTTTTTCTAAGCTCTTAAAGAGACTATCTGCTAACAGGTTTTAAAATTTAAAGATGGAACATTATAGCAAACATTTTTTTCTGAATATTAATATTACACTATTTAATAGAACTTTCCCTCATGTTCCAGTCTTGATGAAATTACACCATTGAAGTAGTTAGCATATGAGAATTTACTAGAAACTGACAGAAAGAAAAAAGAAAAAATCTTACCACAAACTTCAGTACAGTGTCCAATTGTTAGAATAATACTGATTTTTTCTCCTGTATCCAGAGTGTCATTAGACAGCAGCTTCAGTAGCTCTGACACAGTGTGATACTTTGTCAAGACAACACCCATGGCAGCTATTATGTTAAAAATAATTTGAAGAAAAATAAACTAGATAGTAAGTATATAGGCATCATCCAAGTATAAAATGCTGTTTTTCAAGGGAACACTACAGGCCTCTAAAAGCCTTGGGCCTGCACAGTCCTTCTCTTCTCTCTCTTTCATTTTAACACTTCAAATTACCACATAGCCCTGGTGCAGTAATTCTGCCCATGCTACTCCCCATATCCAACACTGCCCTTTCTCCCAGATTGTGCTATATAGAGATGTGGTAGAAGATCTGATAAACAAGGGCTTTGCAATGTGCAAGTTTTGTAGACGTCTGCTGAGCTTCTCCACATCCTTTATCAGCTCCAGAACAGAGTAAGAAAGAGTAGAATAAGGTTTGACACATAGACTATCTGCCACAAAAAGAGCTAGGAATGTTTCTAGTAGAGGGCAACGTCTTCCTGAAACTGGGAACACCACTGCTAGTACGTACATGTTGAAACCTAGTCCTGTCACATACCAACTTCTTTGAAACTAGGCTCAAAACTAGTGCAGGTATATGCTTTTAAACTTTTTTGAACTTCCGTTACTGAGCACTTAGGGCAGAAGTGTCAAATCACGGCTAACAGCAGAGATTCATCAGGCTCAAAGGTTTCTCAAAATCTTCGGATGGAATACACAAAGATCTCATTAGGATAGCGCTATCCAGACAGTAAATGAGAGTAAAGATGCATTATGCAGACATACTACATTTGTTCAGCTTCACACCTAAGTTACTAAAGCCTCTTAAAGCTTACAAAGCTTATTAGCTTCGGCATAGGCCTACAGAAACACAGCTCTAACTCCAGGATCCAAGATGACTGCCATGCCCAGTTCTCAGCTTTACTTATACAAAACTAGCTCTAGTATCTTGTTTTTAATTTTCAGTATAGTTTAAAATTTCATTATGTTTATTTTAGCAACAATGGGAAAGTAACCCACCTCAGATGAACTGAATCATTCCCCATATACAGGTTTGAATTTTAAAAAATCTGCAGTATCAACTGGGATGTATATAACTTTTATATGGATGCCTTTTAGCATCCATTCATATCACTTTTCCACCAAAACCAGACTTTAAAAATTGCATTTTAAAATTGCCATATATAAAAAATGGTAGCAGTCTTTTCACTCACAGTCATTAGCAATGCAGGCATCCAAGGTCTTTGTTACTACTACTGCAAGTTTTGTGCTTGAGTGACTCATACAAGAATCATGCATAAGCTTGATAAGAACTTGAGCTAATGTATCCAATCCTCCAACAGAAACAAAATATTTCTGCACATATGCTTAGTGAAAAAAAGAAAAAACGTGTCTTAAATAATACAAGTTGCAAATTGTTTTAGCATTTTATCAGTTAGGCTCATCATAATTTTCCTGTGCATCTATTAATCATTACATTTCCACCCATACAAAAGAAGTTGGATATATATTAATCTCGAGAAACATAGTAATTGTCTTATAAAATAGTTACAGGAAACACATGGCCCTAATACATGCATACAAATGGCAAACATTATGCCTGAGTTCTACCTAAGTCATCGCTTTCAGAGACGTAATAATGACTTGTATTTGTAAAATACTTTTAATCAAAACATCTTCCAAACAGTTTTTACTGACCTTACTAAATGTAGCCAGTTTGTGGCTATTTGTGGACTTAAGCACAATGCAGTGTAAGTAAAGATCGTGGAATATAGCTTTCAGAGTAAAAGTTGGAAGAACAGCAAATTAATTTGTAGAGATTGACAAAAAGATATCAAACATCTAACTATCAAATTAAACTTACTTTTACAAAAGAAAAACTATTTAAAGCTTGAGCTGCACTTACAGTTATTTGCAACTGTGAGACCAACAAATGAACAAATAGGACGAACTATCTCAGGCTCTGTGCAACTTTCAAGCCACTCTTTGGCATATGGAAAAACTGAACAGCAAATGTTTTGATTATCTTCTGGAAAAGTAAAAACAACCGCAAATCAAAACATAATATGAAATTTCAGTTGAACAGTAAAAATGAAAACAAACTGTTGTCACTTTAGAGAAACACTTCAAACTTTTTTCACAATTTTAACAGCAACACTTACCATTCTGAGGATTGTTAACACAGGCACAGAGAGTACTGCAGACTGAAGACCACAGCTGGTAGCACTGATTAGTATTTTCATCTGACAGATTCATCTCAGATATGGAAAGAGTTGTTCTGTTAAGAACAGTGCAAAGAAGTCCCAAATAGTCAAGCAAAAATAAGTCCTAAAGAGTCTATCATTTTCTCTGTTTGAATTGCAACTGTTTACCTGAATAACTGTAGCAGAAGACCAATGCAGCCTGTATCTCTGACATAGGTTTGCCCACTTTCTAAAAAAGAACACATATAAGACTCCGAAGACGCATGCAACTTGAGACAAAGTCTTAATGTCAAGTTTAATTTACATATATACATTTTATTTCCATTTCCTAAGCATATATCCCCCCAAAAAACAAATACAAAATCACACCAACACATTGGCAAAAGTGTTCCCTTTCTTTCTGTGTCTATTTTTTTTTCTATGCATTGTCAGAAACTACTGGTTTGCATTCTATTTTTTTTTTTAAACTATAATTTCATTTTTAGAACTAAAACACTTTCTGCTATTTAAGGAAATCCCAGTGAGCAATGATCTACTTACACAATTCAGGTTCAGTTACATGCAACCATTCATCTTTATAAATTAATTTTACCAAAACATTACTTATTGAGTGTTCCAAATTTCTGTACTGCAGATTGGCAAATAGAAAAAAGTGGTGTTATAACACAGAAAAAAAAAACAAACAAAACTTACTATTATTCGAAACCAGTACTAAGATGACATAAACAGACATTCTTTTCAAGTTCACACCAGAATCCTTATTAATTAAAAATAAAATGAGGTCTTCAAACAATGCAGAAGTACACAAAGTTTGTTGACAATAAACTGAAACCAGAAAATAAACACCAGTAAGTCCTAAAGCAAGCCATTCATAATCCTAAATTATTTTTTTTTTAATACAGTAACTAGAATCTCAGTTGCATCCAGTATGTGGTGAGCGGAGACAAAACAGGACTATGAGGTGACTGAGGCCTTCCCCCTGTAGTCAGTTCTAAACCAACCAGGACCTAGGCAAACTTTGGAACAATCTATGAGTCATTTAACACTTGCTGCTAAGGAAGAGAAGTAGTACAGCTGTCTGGTATCATAAAGACATGCTGTCTACACAAATCAGCAAGGTATTTCTCCAAATCTGGGGCTGGACAGGGAAACAGTGACACCTTTACTGCCCCTTGCTCGAGCTGATAATCTTGTAATCTGATTTTCTGAGACAAAAAAAAAAAACTGAGACAAAGCACAAGCAGAAGTAATAACATGGGATCATAACTCACTCAGAAATACAAATAATATTACTTATTATTACCATTACTCTCTATTATAATTCCTAATGTAAATAAAGCCGCTTCCTTTACTATGCGGTGAACACTTGACTTTGCAAGATCATTTATAAACATCAAACCACCAATTTCTCGAAAATATTCGCTTGCTTCACCTATAACAGAAAAAAGAACAAAAATTTTTTGCTTTTGTTTCTCTAAAATGAAAACCTTCCACAATTTTATAACCTCTCAAGCCTTATATCCTTTAGATAACTTTTTTTTACAGTGACAACTATGCGGTGAACACTTGACTTTGCAAGATCATTTATAAACATCAAACCACCAATTTCTCGAAAATATTCGCTTGCTTCACCTATAACAGAAAAAAGAACAAAAATTTTTTGCTTTTGTTTCTCTAAAATGAAAACCTTCCACAATTTTATAACCTCTCAAGCCTTATATCCTTTAGATAACTTTTTTTTACAGTGACAACCAGCTTGTTAACATATATTGTGAACATAAATGTGTTGTTTCGAAGGAAAATGCTTCTTACTGTTTTGTTGACAAATTGAATAAATAGTGATCAAAGCCTCTTTCTGAGACGCAGGGCAGTCCATCTGATATTTAAGGCATTCAAGCAGTAAGTTCAGATCTGTTTTCATGTCTTTGAGCAAACACAAAAAAACTTCATGAAAATTGTTATCTTTTCTTTTATTAATCTATATAGTATTACAATAAGCCTTCCCCAAAAATGTAGTATGTATATGTATTTTAAAGAAAAAAAACATGAGCAAAAATGGAGCTATGCCACTTCTATCCATCTATAAATAACAAACATACTTAACCTAACAATATTCCTCTCCATAGTTTGTTATTTGAGCATGATTTCCTGTGCTAAAGTAACAGCCCCCTTTTAATATTTCTGGCCTTTGATTATGAGTAACTGTTAGTAAGTGTGATGTAAATCACTAAATATTAAATTCAATTGCGCAAGGTGCATTAAGTGTATTTAAGTGAGTAATACAGAGCCATGAAAATATTCAGAGTGAAAATACAATTGAAAATCTACAGAGTGAATAGGGAAAGAATCCAACAAAGCAAGGCTTGCTATATGATACTTAGTTACAGAAGACTTCATCACTTAGCACAGCAGCTAGAATCTTGAATCAGGTTGTTAGCTTAGTAAGTTAACACAAAGCATTTTCTGGGCACCTACACACAATCCTAGGTAGATAAAACACTTGAAAATCTGTTTCTTAGTCTTCTGGGTATAATAAAAAGACTTACTTGATAATTATTTGCAACGGTAACAGCAGATACTGTATATTTTAAACACTTGTAAGGTTTGGGGTTTCTTAAAGAAGTTAAAATACAATAAAGATGTGGGTAAATATTAGCAAAAAAAAAAAAAAAAAAAGACTTTGTGGTGGTATTATTTACTATTTGAAAGTCTGTCATTAGATTTGCCCTTTATCTATCCAATACAGAATCCAAAAATTTGACAAGAAGGAAAAAGAACATTTCCCCAACAGCTCACCACCCCATGACAGACCTATCACAGTCTACTAAAACTTTGTAAAATCGATGCAGATAATAAATGACAAATAAATGGTATCTTACCACACTGGTTTTTCTGCACCTTTTGAGTTTCCATTTTTGGTTGTATCTCTGTTCTTGTTCTACAATAGCAACGAAAAAGTGTTTATTTTCTGTTCAGATCATAAGTTAAATCATTTTTCTTAAAATACACTCCAGTTTTCTGGTTTTACTCTATCATCTGACACACACACACAGTTTAATATGCTCTTGCACGGCAAAGATTTCCTTTGGAAATACCGTATTTTATAGTAACACTGCATTTGTAACTATTGTGTTATTATCTTTTGACAGTTAACATTTTGCAGAAATCAGGTGATTCCATGCTACCATTGTGGGGCACCAAAACCGTCTTTGTCATTAAAAATATTCCCGTGTCATTTATCACAATAAACGTGATCCAGTTTTCCTGACAGTAGGTTGCCAACTTTGTCATCAGCCAACAACTGGCAATAAGACCACCAAGTAATGTTATGTAGAGGATCAAGCGTATCTGACATCCACTATAAAACATTCAGCCTCCTACTGCTACTCAGTGAGCCACTAAACCATAACTATGTTGTTTTATCAGTATTGATCAAAACCAAAGACAATGAGCATGAACTGAGACATTATTTCTTAAACTAATAATTTTAGTTCACCAAAGAAATTATTGCATTACATGAACCATGTAAACCAGAAAAACCCACAGCATTGATTCTACATAAACCTAATGTGCCAACATTTAAGAGTTAGTTGAGCAGCAGAGTGAAATTCAGGTTTGGAAGCAGAAAGATGGTCCCTTAACCATGCCCCAAGTTGGGGGGCAAACACAAAAGGTTGATGCAGTGTCACTGTAACCTATTTCAATCTCTCAGAAATTATTTAGCTCCAGGCAGAAACTTTAAATCAGTGATAAATCCAGCTTAATAATGGATTAGTTATCCTTCTCAAAGTAGAGCAAAGGCTCTAAGAAATATCAGTGTCATCTTAAAGAAGACAGGCTGCCCTGCTTTCCATTTTGAGTTACTGATTGTCCCCATTCCTTTGCTGCTTCCATTAGTTCAAATGCTCCATATACATCCTTACGGTAGCATTGGTGAAGCAGGTGTTTTGAGAGGGAAAGTTTAAAAAGAGTTCATCTTCATTTACCCTTTCACAAATGATAATATATATGCATTTCATTTTCTTGCAAATCTAACCCTGCCACAATAGCAGAAAACTTGCAAGTCTTCCTCACCTTTTTGCCCCTGCTGATACCGCCCTACTAGCCTAAGAGAAAACAAAAACCACCTACACATTCCTTAACAAAAGAAAGGCTGTAAAAATGAGCTCTCTTCTGAGCTAATGTCATTTCAGCAAAGTTTCATTAAATACACACTTATATTAAAGGCTCTTTAATTGTATAAGAAGCACATTTTTTTTTAAACACTATAGAAAGATATGTCTTGACCTTAACTGGATCTTTTTCTTTTGCAACATACAGAAGGTACACAAAATATTTATAAGCCAGCCTACCTTAAAATGCAAATAGCTCAACTCTGTTGCATCACAGGGCAAAGATGAAAAGATAAGTAACAGGATTTGCTGCAACAGACTTCTGGCAAATGCATATAAAAGAAAATAGATTACCTATTCCCCATCAGTTATGGACAATAACCCAGTAACATCCCTTCAAACCTCAAAAAAATACTCCTAAAAAAAAATACAGATATAGTCATCTGTTTGTTCAGCAGCATTAGAACACATAGCTTGAACATCCAGAAAGACCGACACAGGAGGTTAGCGGAGCTCACATGGAGGCCAATAGGAACGTCCCCAGTCAGCCAGGGCCCGGGCTGCCAGACTCACCCCTGCACAGCCACACCAGGATAGAAACAGCCAGTCTCAGGGGTATTTTTCCTTTTTAAAACCCATCGGTCAAATCCTGTACAGTAGAAGAAGTCGAGATTGTTCGTGTCCTCTTGAAATCTGAATTCACAGCAGCAGCTGAGAATGCGTCCACTAACTTTTGAGAAACACTCTTCAGTGTAACAGGTCTTTGAAGTCTTCCAGTGCTATTTTAGCATTCATCCCATCCCTCCTCCCTCTCAAATGAGCCATGTATGATTTATAGCTCATTATCAGAGTTCGACTTTGAAGTAGAAGTCTTAACAAGTACTCCAGATCATCCCAAACATAAAAAGGAAAGAACATTTAAAAGATTAAAAAAAAAAAGCCAACAGTCTAAAAATGAAACAGCAAAAGCATTCTTCTGCCAGCTTTTGGGAGGGGTGGGGAATATCAAGAGGATGGGAAATAGGGCACGGATTAGCTACCTGTTGATCCGGCAGCGGGAGTCGCTCTGGTCAGCCACGAAGGCAAGCCCGGGCCCCTCCTGCCGCGCCGGGCCGCCACCGTGGTACCGGGCCCTCCCCGC